AAGATTTTTAACCTATGGGGAGGTAAAGAATAGTGAAATGACAAGTCATGAATAAATGAAATTATAGGAAGGGATCTAGTTTGGATGTGGTGAGGGGGTATAAAAAGGAAAATAAGTTGCTGCCAGATCATGGGAGATTTTTTTTTTATTTTGGTCAGGAGGCAGGGGGAACCACTGAATTTTTAAGATTTATTTATTTGAAGGCAGAGGCAAAGAGAGAGATCTTCCATCTCTGGTTCACTCCCCAGGTGGCCACAATGGCCAGAGCTGCGCCTATCTGAAGCCAGGAGCTTCTTCCAGGTCTCCGACACAGGTGCAGGGACCCAAGGACTTGGGCTATCTTCTGCTTTCTCAAGCCACAGCAGAGAAGCTGAATCAGAATTGGAACAGCCGGGACTCGAACTGGCCCCCATCTTTTTTTTACACAATACTTAAGTGTTTTCACATTTACTATACTTTGTAGCAATTGTTCATGAATGCCTGTGGGATTACATCTGTCTTTCTAATGATTTTACTAGCATATGCTGGCAAATTTGACAGTTTTAAGAAAGTGCACTTTAAGACCTGCTTGAATTTTCTAGGCTTGGCAAGAGTACCTGTTTTCTCTATAATATGGGATATATGTGAATAGATATAATAATTCCTAATAGGCTATAAGGTCTTCTTCCCTCCAGTGACTTGTCAGTTGAGCATCCAGACTGGCTACTTGAATTCTCATTACATCTTCTTTCCAAGTTCAATGGTAATGAATTCACTTTGGCATTAGTGTGAAGTGTCACTTGTAAGGAATTTACAAAGCTAAAATTCAGCTGTCAGATTTCACTAGCTTAAGTACTGAGGGTAAAGGAAATATGCTGTAAAACCAGAAACTGTTTCTCAATAGAAGTTTCACTCCAAGCAACTTGAATTTGATTTTTTTTTTTTTTCTAAAGATTTCTGTATGTGTTTGAAAAGCAGACTTACAGAGAAATCTTCCATTCACTGGTTCACTCCCCAAATGGCCATAGTGGCCAGAGCTGGGCTGGGCTGGAGCCAGGAGCTTGATCTGGGTCTCCCACATGGGTGCAGGGGTTCAAACATTTGGGCCATCTTCTGCTGCTTTCCCAGACAGAGTAACAGGAAGCTGGATCAGAAGTGGAGTAGCTGGTACTTGAATCATCATTGGTATGGGATGCTGGTGTCCCACACCACAGCTTTACCCTCTGTGCCACAATGCTGATATTTTACCTTTATGAAGTAAACTAGATTTAAATAAATACAGCAGTAGAAAAGAAAAATAACAAAACCAACTTGGGTTCCAGGTTTCTATTGTGTGTATTTAGAGGTCTAGACAGTTACGTTTCAGGTTTTCTGTGATTTGTAGCTTCAAATTTGGAATGTGCAGTTGAAAATTATTTACTTATTGTAGAATCAGAGCTCCTCTCATCAGTGCTCTGGTTTACTCCCCAAATGCCTGCAACAGCTAGGACTAGGTAGTACTGAAGCAAAGAACTGGAAACTCAGTCCAGATCTTCATAGGTATATGCCTGTCAGCTCAGGAGCTGGAGGCAGGTATCCAATTCAGCTACTCCAATGTGGGACAGGATATCTTAACTGCTAGCCTAAATGCCCACCTCTCTGTTAAATTTTAAAGACAAAGCCAAAACTTCCTATTGACTTTACTTCTTAGCTTCAATCTTTTCCTTTGAGGGATTTTTGTTTTTTTGTAGGACACAAAAAGGTTGTATGTCAGTAGTGTCAGATGGGTGTACCTAATATTTTGATTTTGTGCAGTTGAAAGTACCTTTTCTAGTTTTATTTATATTCTCTTGGGACAGTTAGAAAAGTTTTGCAGAGTAACACATTTCATATTCATAATCTGAGTTGAGACTTCTATAAGGGACAAAATGTGTTGGTCGTGTGTGTTTTATCAGTGGTGTCACTTGTAGAGTTGTTAAGCATGGCATATAATTATACAAACAATTTATTTCCTTTTTGATATTAACCTTGTTTCAGTTTCATAGAAACTTAAATTTTGATCAAGGAAATAAAGTTGCTAGTATTTACAAAAGTAATTAACAGGAAGGGAAATGATTTCTCAGTTCAGCACCTTAGATAATTATTATGCTATAAATTCCTCCTGCTCCCCCAAAGTCACAATCAGGTTTACAAAACTAAAACTAGATCCTACATAAGTTTTCTTTATTTGAAGTTTAAAATTCTGTAGTATTTGAGTAAATCCTTAAACTGAATGTTCTAATTTGAGGCAAAGAAATGTATTTAACTATTAAACTGGCATTTGCAGATAGCTGCTTTTGTCATCTTTATTCTGATTTTTGTGTTTCCGTGACTCAAGTATATCTTCTCCCCTCATAGAGGAGAAAGGCAGAGCCATATTGAAGTTATTTATCTTTAGTGAGCAGACCTAAAATAATGAGTGTCAAGTAACTGGTATATACAAGATACTTTAGCAGTTTGCTGCAGAATGTCAAATTTCCGTGCCTTTGCTAAAAGAAAAAATGCTAATTGTATTGGGTTAATTTATTTGCACTCAGGTCTCACAAGACAAGGCTTTGGCCATTCTGGGATCCAGTAATTTTAATATAAAAGTGCTATTATAAACTCTCAGCTACTTTTTACCGTCTGAAACTAATAAAGTTAGAACTTGTATTGGAGTGATAGGTATGATCTGTGTGATTAAAATTCCCTTTCTGAGATGTCATCTTTTTTCCCCAAGAGTAGGTTGATTGTAGACCTCCCAGGACAAAGGAATTTTCCTACCTATCTTTGCATAGGAACTGCTCAGAGATTTGAAGTCCATAGGCATAGGACTAAACTTGGACAAGTGGCAGAATATTACTAGCCAGCTATAGTTTAATCAGAGAATCATTGTAGTAACTTTGAATTGAGTTTTATCTGAATAATTACTTTGATCATTTACCTATTAATCTGAACATCCAATTCTAGCGAAATTTTCAAAAATTTTCCTAGCAAGTCTTGATTTGAGGGGAGTGGGGGAACAGTGTTACTCTACCATTCCCTGTTTCTGTCCATACACCTATAATAAGACAGTCATAATTTTAGGTCTGTACTTGTTCTATTTTAGCCCCAGGAAGGGGTTATGTTGTTCCATAACTGAAACCCTTGTTTTCATACATCTCATCTTAATAAGCTCTAGTCCTCTTACTATAATTAGTTGCTGATAAATAGAAAGCAATTAAACAGAATTTATTTATAATCAAAAATCAGTCTTTTTGTCCTTTCAGATTGATAGTTGTATGGCAGTGGGAAGAGTACTTAATCCTCAGTGCTTACTCATTATTTCTACTTAGGTAGTTTTTGTTTGGTAGAGGTTTTGTTTTTTGTTTCTTTAAAGATATTTAATTAAAAGGCAAGGTGGGGGCCAGCGCTGTGGCGTAGTGGGTAAAGCCCGTGCCTGAAGTGCCAGCATACCATGTGGGCACCAGTTCATAACCTGGCTGTTCCACTTCAATCCAACTCTGCTATGGCCTGGGAAAGCAGAAGATGGCCCAGCTCCTTGGGCCCCTGCTGCACCCATGTGGGAGACCCTGAGGAAGCTCCTGGCTCCAGTTGTAGCTAAATGGGGAGTGAGCCAGTGTATGGAACACCCCCCACACCCTCTCCCCCCCCCCCCCCCCCCGTGTAACTCTTATTTGAAGTTTTTTTTTTTTTTTTTTTTTTTTTTTAAATAAAAGGGCAAGGTGAAGAATAGAGGGACAGAGAGAGCTTCCATCTGTTGGTTTACTCCCCAGATGCCTGCAACAGCCAGGGCTGTGTTAGGCCAGAGCCAGGAATTCGGACCAGGTCCCCTGCATGACTGGCAGGGACCCAAGTACTTGAACCATCTTCTGCCTTCCAGCTGCATAATCAGGAAGCTCCATGGGAGACAGAAGAGCCAGGACTTGATCCTGATAACAGGATGTGTGTGTTCCAAGTTATAGCCTAGCCCGCTGCACCACAACACTGGCCCTATTATTTGTTCTTTCAAGGTCATAGTGTAGTATCTATTGTCTTACTCAAGACTTTGAATATTCTTGAAGGTGTTTGTTTGTTTGTTTTTGACAGGCAGAGTGGATAGTGAGAGAGAGAGAGAAAGGTCTTCCTTTTGCCATTGGTTCACCCTCCAATGGCTGCCACGGCTGGCGTGCTGCGGCCGGCGCACCGCGCTGATCCGAAGCCAGGAGCCAGGTGCTTCTCCTGGTCTCCCATGGGGTGCAGGGCCCAAGCACTTGGGCCATCCTCCACTGCCTTCCCGGGCCCCAGCAGAGAGCTGGCCTGGAAGAGGGGCAACCAGGAAAGAATCCGGCGCCCCAACCGGGACTAGAACCCGGTGTGCCGGCGCCACTGGGTGGAGGATTAGCCTAGTGAGCCGCGGCGCCAGCTGAAGATTTTTTTTCTATGTCAGGTACAGTTCTACCTTCTCTCCCCGTATCACTATAGTTTGGGTCATTTTTAAGATGTGAAAATAAATGTACTGTACACATTTTGAATGAAAATGGAGCAAGTGAGGATTGTACATCATTAATAAATGGGTAAAGATTGCATTTTGACTGGGTTAAAGTAGATGTGGTTTAGTGTTCAAAACAACTTGCGTGAATGCTTAAACTAAGCATTGAGTATGATTGATGAATAATTCTCAAAATATTTGGAATGATAGCTTGCTAAGAGATATTTGGTTTTTAATAATTATGATCTGTTTTGAGAAATATTTTACCTGTAATATGCTTCTGCATTTTTGCTGTTGGTGAAAACAAAGTTGTTCTGCGAATTTCAGATAATAACTGACATTCTGTGATCAACATTTAAAAGGCAATCTGAGTGATGCTTAAGAATTATAGGAAGCTGCAAGTGCTTGGTTTGTCACAGAATTGTTTCCAGTTCTACCTTCAGCTCAGCATTTATCAGTCTAGTTTTTTTAGATTTAAAATGAAAAGCATAGCTTTAAACTTTGCTCACTGAAACCTAGTACATAAAATAATCCGTCTTTTTATTCTTTGCAGAAATGGAATCTATTTGGAATTTGCAGAAGCAAGGTAAGAATGAGTAAATGACTTAATATTCATAACCAGTGATTACTATACATTGTTTTTAGATGGGAATAACAGTTGAGCAGTCATCTACCAAATAAACAGGTTTTATATTTTGAATTATTTAATGAATGTAGTTGAAAGGCACTATGTTTATTTGAGAGAGAAACATAAACAAGTCCCATTTACTGGTTCACTTCCCAAATGCCCATGCTGGCCAGGACTGAAACCAAAAGCTAGAAAAATAATAGTTGTTGCAGAAATATCTGGGCTGTATGTTCTTCAAAAAGGAAATATGAATAGCAAATCAAGAGTTCTTCACCCTCCCATAACCAAGATGTGATGAGTGGGAGAACAGAAAGACTCGATAATCCACATCTGGATTATTTAGAATTTCCTAATTATTGCATACCTTCTTTACAAATATAGTAAAAATAGTTGATTGCATGATACAAAAGGTGAGTTTAGTTTGGAAAGAAGCCGCTGAGTAATGTATTTAGGTTTTCAGAATCTTGTAACTGAATTATATCATACACTCATCTACTTTGTTGGTTAATATATGTGCATCTCGGATGAATGTGAAATTCCTAGGAATTTTAGGAGTTGAAGAATGTTAGAAATTCTCTTATGTCTTATTTATTAGGAAATTCAGACTCAGAGGTTGGTGTATAAGCTAGAGAGATGGGGCTAGAATGTACGTCTGCACGATTTTCCAGTACTACTACTCCTTCGATTTCTCCCTCTTTTTCAGTAATTAAACACAAATGAAAAGAAGGTAGAGTAGAAAATACACCCTTCAGGGAAGGACAATTTAGATAGCAGATAGGACATTGCTTGGGACACTCAGTCCCTTGTCTGAGTACCTAGGGTTTAGCCTTGGTTCTGCTCCTGACTCTAGCTTTCCTCTCAGAGGCAGTGGTTAATTTCCTGTCATCGTGAGGGAGAACTGGACTGAGTTCCCGGCTTCTGGCTCAACCCTGGCTATTAGGAGTATTTTGGGATTGAACCAGCAGATGGGAACTCTTACTCTCTTTTTCTGTTTTTGTGCCCTTCAAGTAAATAAATACAAATTAAAAAGAAAGTATACCCTGCAAAAGTTGACCTACTTTAGTTTTGCTGGTAAATAGATATTAACCATTAGGAAGGGACATTATCTTCGTGGTAGGTTGCCAGTGTATGGCTGTTGGAAACCCATAAAGGATATTGTTGTCTCTGGAGTAAACTAGATTGATTCTTAAGGCTGAAGAGATCTTGAATTCTTGAATATAATTTTTTTTGTTAAGATTTATTTATTACTTGAGAGTCAGAGTTACACACAGAGAGAGAGAGAGAGAGAGGTCTTTCATCTAATGGTTCACTCCCCAATTGGCCGCAATGGCCGAAACTGCACTGATTGGAAGCCAGGAGCTGCTTCTGGGTCTCCCACGTGGGTGCAGGGGCCCAAGGACTTGGGCCATCTTCTACTGCTTTCCCAGGCCATAGCAGAGAGCTGGGTCAGAAGAGGAGCAGCCAGGACTAGACCCAGTGCCCATATGGGATGCCAGCACTTCAGGCAAGGGTGTTAACTCACTGTGCCACAGTGCTGGCCCCTTGAATATAATTTGCAATATAGTGGCAGGTTTTATTGGTTTGCTTTTTTTTTCCCAACAGCAAAAGTATGTACATATTAAAGTTTTTTGTGTTAAGTAGAAAGTGTGAAATTAAAATATTGCCTCCCAGAAGAGGAGAACATAACACTTTAGAATAGCCTTGGCGTCTACCTAGACACATTCTGACAGCTTTATATTTTGAACTCAGGATATAGATGTGCTTTGCTGAAAATGAAAGCTGATGGTTATGGGAAATTAGGAAGAAAGAATAAGTTACTGGTTAGACTTCAACTGGTAGTTCTATGAAACTAAGTTTAACATGAAGCTTTTGGTGCTAGGTTATACTTGAACAATCATTTGCTAGACTATCCAGACTTTTTTTTTTTTTTTTTTTTTTAAGATTTATTTGTTTGTTTGAAAGGCAGAGAGAGGTCTTCCATCTGCTGGTTCACTCCCCAAATGGCCTCAATGACTGGAGCTGGGCCAATCAGAAGCCAGGAACATCCTCCCGGTCTCCCATGCAGGTGCAGGGGCCCAAGGACTTGGGCCATCTTCTGCTTTCTCAGGCCAAAGCAGAGAGCTGGATCAGAAGTGGAGCAGCCAGGACTTGAACCAGTGCCCATATGAGATGCCAACACTGCAGGCCGCGGCTTTACCTGCTTTGCCACAGTGGCAGTTTTACCTGCTATGCCACAGTGCTGGATCCTGTTTTTGTGATTCTTGAGACAGAGAGCACTCCCATCCCTTATTTCATTGCCCAAATGTTCATAATGGCCTGGCTGAGGCCTGAGCTAAGAGCTTGGATCACAATCCAGTTCTCCTATGTGGGTGACAAGAACCTAGTTACTTGAGCCATCTCTGCAGCCCCCTGGAATCTGCTAATAATTAGCCAAATAGCTGGAACCAAGAATTGAACTCAGGTACTCTGATATGGGACATGGATGTGTTAACAGCTTGGGCTGATAAACGCTTGCTTCCATTTGCATTGTTTAAAATGAATGTTGTCTTTATTTGATGAAAAAAAAGAAAAGAACATACATCCGGGAGCTGGAGTTGTAGCATAGCAGATAAAGCCGCTGCCTGCAACATTGGCATCCATATGAGTGCTGGTTCAGATCTCAGCTGCTCCACTTCAAATCCAGCTCCCTGCTAATGGCCTTGGGAAAAGCAGTGGAAGATGGTTCAGGTGCTTGGGCTCTTGGCTCCATCCTGGCCATTGCAGCCACTTGTAGAGTGAACCAGTGAATGGAAAACCTCTCTCTGTGTCTGCCCCTCTGTAACTCTGAGGTTTATAAATACACAAATAAATCCAGCAAAGAGCTGGATTGGAAGTGGAGCAGCCAAAACTTGAACAGGCACCCATAAGGAATGCTGGCACCACAGGTGGAAGTCCACAGCACTGGCTCCAAGTAAACAAATCTTATTTAAATAAATAATCAAAATTTTTTCAGTATTGAAGTATTGATGACTGTAAGCCTTTTTTTATCCAACTTTTTTCAAATGCATTAATTTTATAATTAGGAATAACAAAAAATCCTTTTAGCTAAGCTAAACATTCAGTAGTCTGTAGGAGTTGAGACCTTTACTCTCTTGAGGACCTTGTTGCTGGAATTCTGTTAGAATGCCAAATATCCACTTTTAAGTTGAGAAACTGGGTCATGTGACCAGGAAGAAGCTCCTGGCTCCTGGCTTCTGCCTGGCCCAGTCCTAGCCATTGCAGCGATACTTTAATGAAGACACTGTCTGACTGTAGTGATAGTACACATTTGTAAAACTTAACTCCTCTCAGCTTGTGTTAATGCAAATTATAAATGACTTTAAATTCTGTTTTCACAAAAAGGGTGGTTCAAATGATGATTGTTTGAGACTTGTTTTTGAGACATAGAAGGATTCAAACCTTGTTTTTTTTTTTTTTTATTTTAATTCTCCAGATCCCAAAAGGATAATCACTTACAATGAAGCCATGGATAGTCCAGATCAATGAAGGACCTGACTGCCTAATTGTAACCTTTCTGCAGCATTAGAGCCACCGTTCATGGGGGACACAAGGCTTTTATGCTCCTAGATCTTCAACGCAGCAGAGGAACCATAAGTAGAATCACAGGATAATATATACAAATATATATATATACATATATATATATATAGTTATTTAAAAAAGGCAACTGAAAGTAATTAGACTTCTTAAGGAATCAAATTTATTTCAAGAGACTTCACATGGTTATTTAATCTCCGGTACTGAATAGTTTTGTTTGTTTTTTTTTTTTTTCCTTTGTTAGTTTTTGTTTTTAAGTGTGAATGCAAGTGATTAATGATGAATACAGACTAAACAAGCGTGGTTCTGAAGTTCCTGCTGTCATCAACTTGGGCAACAAATGACCCACTGGAAAGGCAAATCCACTTAAGATCTTTGTATGTTGTTCTGTGACTAAAGTGATACACTAATCACGGGGAACCCAGAATGATTCAACATTTTCCCCTACTCCTCCCTTGATCTTTTGCTTTTACTTTAAGCCCTGCAAGAATGCTGGATAAATGCCTTGAAGTTTGCAGGGTTTTTGGGGGTTTGTTTGTTTGTTGTTTTTGTTTTTTGTTTTTTTGTTTTTTGTTTTAGCATGTCTTGCCAGGAGTTAAGCAGCCTCTGTGGGGTGTTGGGGGGGGGGGCGGAATATTTTCTTTCTTTTTTTATTTTTTTTTTTTATTTTTCTTATGGGGTGGGAAAAAGGGAGGGCATTAAAGTTCTACAGTTCTGGAATAGTTGGTGGGTACATAGTTAACTTGGCTTGATTACATGTTGGACTTAAAACAACTGAGGAATCCATGATTGTCATTTATAGAAAAGTTGCAGAACAAGCAATTGGCTTAGATACAGAAAAAACAATTCCTTTGTCCAAATTTAATGTAATTGTACAACTGGGAGCAAAAATATATTCTGCTTTTCAACTGTAGGTGCTCCAGACTTGCTCTCTGTCACTAACACTAAATGTGCTGTTTTCCTTGTTTTTCATCAGACATACAAGAGAAACTTCTGTATCTTTTAATTTCTCAGCAAAGTCTAAAGGGGGGAGGCAGCCCATGAAAACTAAAACTTCATGTTTTTAGCGAGTGAAGAGGTGATAGAACCCTGCCTGTAGGTGGTGTACAAACTAAGCTTATTAGCTTCTAATTATATCTTAATAAATATATTTTATTATTAGAGCAAAATGGGTTTTTTTAAGGAAAATAATGTGAAATTCTCGAAATTATCTTTTGGGCAGAGAAGAGCATTAGCCCTGTCTTACCATCACATTGCCATCCTGTTGCACTGCAGCTTGTGTATAGCATGCTAAAAAAGAGTGTGTGTGTGCAGAAACTAAGGGTCCAATTTAAGTTGGGTGATGTTAGTGGCATAATAACAAGTTCTCTGGCCTGACAGCATCACATCACACACACAGAGAAATTAGTATATCCATGTATGTCAAATACAGAGTAAAGTAGCAGGGCATTTATTTAAAGAGTTGTTGTCTTCTAATAAAAGTAGACCGGATCCCCTGGGGGTATTTGGGGGAGAAAGTAACTACTTTTGCTCTACCCCTTTGCCTAAGAAATGTCCAGTTGTAAGCGACTGTAGTATGGATGGGTTTTCTTGTTCTGTTGATTATTTGAGACTTCTAACAAGTAGTTCATGAAAGAAGCTGTTGGACTCAATATAGAATAGAGAAAATATCTTTAGTCTGGATTTCTGCCCTGCTTAGATTTTTTTTAAGAGTATAAGCATGGATTGCCAATTCCACTTGATGTAAACAAAACTTTTTATACATAATATATATATATAATAACTTATTGTATCAGTCCAGGTTCAGAAACTTGTGGTAGGCCAGTTCCAGATAGTTTCATTTCACCTGTAAACTGTATCACTTTTACTGATAATTGTAATTTTCAAATGTATAATATGTTTACAGATGTGCCCTGCATTTAGTCTGCCTTGTTCTTTTGATTTTTGTTGAGTCTCCTGCCTGCTTGCCAAAAGCTAGGATGCTTCAGGCCCATGTACAATTGAAAGCAGAGGCATCCTTGAGCTTTAAAGCATTGAACAAACTGGAAAATGCAACATACCACATACTGAAGTGAAAAGTCTGTGTTTGTGTTTTTAAATAAAAATTTTTAAAAAGTTTTAAAAAAATATATAAGGTTGATTAAAGAAAAAAAAAAAAAGGCTCCAGTTTGTTTTACAGGTTTTAAAGTTCTGCTGTGTGTTCAATTGCCTTGTGTAACCACTTGTCGCCTTAGGGCCAGATCCCCAACCCTCCACCTCCTTTTTTAAAATGTCCATTTTGCTTGCCTGGAATCTTAAGGTTCTTGTCTCACAACTCACATGAAACTTTCTGGGTTTGTGACATATAACAGAAATTGAATGACTATATATTTAAAAAAATCCAGCCCTCATCTGAATTGGGCTTTTTAACTTAGAAGCAACACTTAAATATCTTTAAGGCTGTCTTTTCTAATTCCCTTCCATATCCACATCCCTCAGGCCTCCATGTTCAGAGAAGCCAAAAAGAATGTATCCCTTTCTCTCTTTGTCCAAAGGTTTTGAGAGTCTCACTTCTAAATGAAACAATGCAACATTTCACTTTGATTTCTCCACTGAAATTTCCTTGATTATATGGTTAGAGGTATGCAGTAGTTAGGAATGTCTGTTAACTTTCTGGGAACCCTACTTGCCCCGTCATATTAAGTGTCAGTATTTTCTGGGCATTGGGTTAATGGACTTAATTGCCTAGGTTCAAGCAGGACTTTGGGACAAATCTCCGTTGTGCTGTTTGGTAACACTTTTAACTCTACTTGTCGCAATCTTTCTCCTTAGGTCCTCACACAATTCCTTACAGAGCACTTATTAAAAAATCTTAAGAGCTGATCTGTTTTCTGATTATTTTTGTGTAAGCTTCTAAACAAACTTCAGCTGTGATTAATTTAGCGCATTTAAATAACGTTGATGTGTTACTGTTTGGTATAATGAATTTTCCTTCAACTCAGAGTATTAGTACTGTAGCATAAACCAAATACAGTCTAGAGGGAATATTTAACATCCCTCCATTATAAAGACTGAAAAAGGAGTGTGTGTGTGTGTGTGTATGTATGTATGTATGTATATGTGTGTTGAGTGCTTGTATGTGAGGAAAAGATGGAGATGTTAAAAATTAGTAAATGAATATGTGTAAGATGTTATATTAGTATTCAGAGAATGAAACTTGTATTTATTTTGTGCCATTGGTTTTCATTACACAGAAAAAAGTCAGGTGGTTTAAATTCTTAAAAGGATAGTATTTGAAAAATGGCACTAAGAATGAAATCATGACCTATTTTTTTAATAGCTATGAAGATGCTAATTATTGATGAAGATTTGTTTTTAAATTTGTCTTGATTGTAGGCGTCTGTGTCACATACCACTCATGTAGATGTCTTGAATAATCTCCCTTCCCCACAAAAGACAGGGTGTATTTATCTTTTTATTCACTCCCACTTTGCTGATCTGAAGTTAATTGCATAGTCTTTCCTGTAACCTCCTTAGTAATGAACCTGCACATGAAGTGTATTTACAGAAACTGTAGTAGTAGCCCTTCTTCCTCTACTTTCTAGGAGGGGATCGCCAGTAACTAGATATTATGTTAATGACAGCTTTTTTTTCCTTCTTGAAATAAATGGCTGGAGTTTGTCTCCATTTTAGAATTTTGCTGTCCTCTTTAATTAATCTGCTTACATAGTCATTACTCAGAACCTGCAAAAATTATATACAGGAAGAAAAGTGCTACATTGTTTTTTCAAATAACAGTTTTTAGTGGAAATATGACAAACCTCAACTATGGAAATTGTCCATAATACAAAATGTGTTCCTTCACAAAATATTATATAGCAGTGGTAGTTTCATACTTGGTTGTTAGGCTTGTTGCTAACCCACATCAGAAGCATCTAATGGTTTATCTTTTGTAATGCTGTAAACTTAGAAACACAAAAAAGCCATTTAGTGTGAAATTGTCCTGTACCGAATGACCACAGGCAAGGAAATCAGAAGAGGACTTCACTCAATTTTAAATTCCACTAAATAAGAAAGGAGCCACTTTTGAAAAGCTTTCTAAAGAGAAATAGGATAAAAGTCCAATTGCAAAGAGTTGTGGATATGGTTATGGCAAATGGGCCATGTCCTCAAATAAAGGATGATCCCTCTTGTATGCTTTGGCTGACTGCATAGAACAAAAATACAGAATAGGGGGCAGATACATAGATGACCAACAGTAGTTTTTATGATCAGGTCTATTGATGTTCTGTCAGTAAAGAATCTCCCAATTCTAATAGGGCAGTTCTACCCATAACTTTGCTGTTTTTGAAGGAAAGAGGGTAGGATTTGTTTATCTCCCTTCCTCCCAGTTAACTTGTTAAAAAGGCATGGGTGGAGGACCAGACTAGAAATGTGAGTAGCTTCTCTTACGTTTGCCAGAAGCACAGATTAGAATTAGTTCTTAACATTGATATGTTTATTAATGTAATTGACAGAGCACCAGTATTTTATGGTGAAAATGATGGACTTTTGCTTTGGGTATCCTAAAATATTTTTTAAGATGATACATTCTGATATGTGAGAACCAGGAATGCCCCGGGTTGGTTTAAAGAATGGTAAATCATCGGCTCCACTCAAAAACACTGCTTTACAGGGTTTTAAATTAAATTTCACAACATTTTGCTGCTCAAGAAAGGTCTTAAGTAGTTAAAGGATGCTGGCAATAGTATGAATATAGTTTTAAGTTAACTGTATAATACCCAGGATGGTGTATTGTTTTTACATTGCTGGGAGTGTCAATAGCAATTAGAGGCTAGAAACTATGGAACAGCCATCCTCAAAGGTGATGGAATTATTGATTCAGGCTTCACTATTCATAGTTTTGTTATGTCCAGAGTTCTAAAGCCATTTTATAATACTGCAGTATCCCTTTTCTATAGCCTTACTAAAATTACAAACTACATTATTAAAGTTAAGAACATTTTCCAGTTCAGTTTCACTTCCGCTGTATATAAAAGTGTACTCTGCAGACCCACAAACCAACTTGAGGTAATTTGTATAGCTTTCCTTACACCCTTTTTTCCTCAGGTGCTAATAAATAAAGGCTCCAAAAATGGATACTGCTCTAGTAACATTTGCTTTATTAAATGCATATTTCTTTTGGTAGATGTAAAGATTTGGTATTAACAAGATGGTTTTAATATGTAAATTTGAATGAATGCCTTTAGTTTTCCTGTTTGTCTATTATTAGTGTGTTTTCATTTATGCTTTATAGAGAGGAGGATCCTTTCATGATCTCAAGTACATTTCATTAGGTATGGTTGTGTTTTTAGAGTGAAAATACAACTGTTTTCTGTCTTAGATTAATTCTGCTGCTATGAGAAACTGAAAATCAAGAATGTGATGCACTTTTTACATTTCTATATACCATACATATACATATACCATAGGTTGCTTTGACACCTTTCCTATAGCACAGCCACTAATAAAGATGAATGAATTATATAATTCTCTTTGGGAGGGAATCAGTACAGATAACTAATCCATAGTTGGTATTGGCCAGTGAAGGACAGACAGTAAATTTAAAGAAATAAAAATACTATTAACATTTCACTTTTTGGCCTTAAAATGCTCTACTACTGAAAATATTTTAAGCTTTGTCTATTACTCCATCTCTGCCTCAGAAAGAGGAATTGGGTAGAATGACTTAAAGGAAGTGTCATTGGTTTGTTGCTGATCATTTAGGAAGAAAACAGTTGTCTACTGTATAAGCTGGGGACTTCCTTTTTGTATATGGAGGAGAAATAATGCTGTCCTGATCCAGTCAGACTTAGCTTAATCAAATTCATCACAACTCCCAACTAATTCTGCTTCTCTAGTATATTTTTCTTAGCAAAGATAAGTAGAGTAGGAGTGCTGCCTGACGAGGAAAAGTCATTTCTCTAGCACATACTCAAATTTGAAGGAGATGGAACCCAAAATAATGGGGGGGAACACCAAATGAGTTGGAGGTATAAGAGGAAGAGTGTGGTCCAAAGTTATCTGGTTATATTTTGATGTTGCCAATATTGTAAAGCCAAAATTTTAATTTGCTTATTTAATATATTTGTTGGCCAGAGATCTATTTTTATATCAATGTGCCTTGCATGTATATTAAAATTTTTTGGAAAGGCCATGTAGTAATGCCTGAGATAGTTGATGGTTCTTACCACTCACTGACCTTTATGCAGTATGAAATGCTCATTCTATTGCCCAACTGGTGCTCTCTGTTTAAAGTTATAGACCTTGTCAAACTGGAACTATTTTATAAACTGGGGAAGTGAATTTTTTTGTTGTTTCTTTTTTGTTTTTAGTCTGTTAGTGGCTGTTCTGTAGTGGGAAATAGTAAAAGGATTTTTTGCTCTCTTTCCTTCCCCCCTCAGCACCTTCAAGTAATGTGATGACACCATTTCTTGTGTGCTATGAAAAAGGTATCAGCTTGCTGTCTCCTTTAGTGTTATTTAAAAAAAAAAGAAAAAAGAAAAAAAAAGTGTTATAAGAAGCATTGTTTGCAAAATCTAGGAAGATAATGAAGTCCACTCTAATCTGGAATTCTATATGAGCTATGAATGAACCAAGTTACCGGCTTTCCAACTTTAAATTTTCTATTGTTAAAGCACCTTGCTTAGAAAATTTTAAATATTTATGTCTGCAACAACTGTCTCAAAATAATAAACTGTGCAATTCTTGTCATTAAAAAAAAATCTGAACTCTCCCTACTGTGACTTGTTAGTTTCTCTGTATTTTCTGCCAGTGTAAATGTGAAAAGCTTTGCTTGCATTACGTTTTAGAAATGCATTTTGCACACTCGAATTTTGCCGAAGCTCCGTGAAAAGGTTAGCTCTAAGTAGATGAATAAAGCTATGCACATGTTTTGAAAGTTTTAATTGTGTGTCATTACCAAAAGTGACTTATCTGTCCTTATCTTGCTGTTAGCTTTACCATCTTTGGAAACATGACAAAGTCACAGTTCTGAGATAGCTCATCACTGGAACTAGAAGAGAGCTAAAATGGCACCTATTTTAATAAAGTTCAGTTTAAATAAGAACTTGACTTGTATCTGTTTAAGGGCTCTTCTTGAAACAGGGCTGTTTGATCAGCTTTACAAACCATTGGATGCTCTTCCTCAGTGAAATTTGTGTTTGATGAAATAGAAATAGGAAATAGTTCAAACTGAAATGAAGGAAGGACCTTTGCCACACAGAACTCTGAATTTTGTCTTAATCCTAGGATAGCATTTTTATCTTTATTGCTTTAGCATAAACTTAGCATACTGAATGGTTGCTTTGAGATTAAAATCATTTAAAAATCAAAGCACAGGTTTTGAAGATAATGTGTACCTTTATAAAAACTACCCATGCTGACTAGAACAAGTTTGGACATTGGGCACATTTGCTTCAATTGCTGCAACCTGCATGTACTAAACCGCTTTATTTCACATGTATGTGTAACTTGATTGTGTAGATGTACTGGCAGGTTTTGCCAATTTTTTTAAAGATTTTTTAAGCTATCTTTTCATGACCTTTGTAGGATAATTTTTAAGTAGAAGATACTACTCATGACATTTCCCCATGCTCCTACATATAATAAATTTTCCATTTTATACTTTTCATATGTATAGAAGAGGGTTGCTTCTCTGTCATCAAGTGTGTTCCTGATGTATATTGTTGACTTTGAAAACATGGCAAAACTTTCTGTATCTCTGTTGATAGTGGCAGTTAAAAACTCAGTCTACTAGTCAAGACTTGAAAGATGGTCCATTACCCATTTTAAGCAGGAGTGTAGCAAGCATCATCTTAGCGTTTGGCTGTGCTTGAACATCTGTCAGTAGTTCATTTACATTCAGTCTTAGAACATAACATGTTGGAGGAGAAAAGTAATTTCTGTGTCTTGTGCACATAGGGATTTAGCCAAGTTACCTCTTAATTTAGGGGGAAGGATAATTAGTGGGCTACAGTTATGTTAGAGGATGTTTCCCTTCCCTTCCCAAAAAGTGTAAATGTTTGTTTTGCCCAGTTTAAAAAAAAATTAGGTCTTTTCTAGATGTAAGAACAATGGCCAGGAATTTACCCTTTTGTTAAATGCTTAGGTCTTTGCTATAGCTTTTTCTGATGTCATGGATTCTGAGGAAGTGTCAGTTACATGATGATCTTCCTTTATTGATGTCTTCATGTTCGGTGTTTTAAAAATATAAATTAAAACAATACCCAGATTTAATTATTTTATCAGGAAAAAAAAAACCTTGAGAAATTTGTAGCTCAAATTAAGAAACAATAAGTGTACATTGTTGAATAAAAAGTTTTAAAGTTTCTGAGGTGTTTGTGTTACTATCTGTTGTGTGCTCTGCTAAAAATATTGCCGAAAACATTGTGATATTGGTATTGATTCTTTTTTCCCCCAAAGGGTCAGGTGTGCAGTCTGTAATCCTGATATTTTTGTTGGGTTTTTGAAAAGCAGCTGCCGAGACGTGCAGGACGTTGACTTACACTCTTTGAATTGGGATAAGAAACCAAAATTGATTTAAACATTTAAGCTGCCAAGAGTCTGGGTTTATTCAGAGCTGTATATAGAAGTACATGGCAATATGCATTTGAGAAATTTCATGTTGAAAATCCATGCTAGCGGCTGGCGCCACGGCTCACTAGGCTAATCCTCCACCTTGCAGCGCCGGCACACCGGGTTCTAGTCCCGGTTGGGGCGCCGGATTCTGTCCCGGTTGCCCCTCTTCCAGGCCAGCTCTCTGCTGTGGCCAGGGAGTGCAGTGGAGGATGGCCCGAGTGCTTGGGCCCTGCACCCCATGGGAGACCAGGAGAAGCACCTGGCTCCTGCCATCAGATCAGTGCGGTGCGCTGGCTGCAGCGTGCCAGCTGCGGCGGCCATTGGAGGGTGAACCAGCGGCAAAAGGAAGACCTTTCTCTCTCTCTCTCACTGTCCACTCTGCCTGTCCCAAAAAAAAAAAAAAATCCATGCTAGCTAGCCATCAGCATTTTTAGCATTAGGGAATGGGGTGAACAGTCATAAGAGACTATTGAGAGGGTAGTTGTCCATGGAAGGTGACTTGTAAGGACCCAAAAGGGAATTGGATGTACGTAAGCGTGATTTGTGTAAATAATTCAGTCCACAAAGTTTTCTGTTTTTTTTTTTTTTTTTAAATGACATTTATTGTGGATTTCAGCAGCTAACATTTGGAAGCAATGTCTGGTGAGCAGAACATAAAACTTCATTCTATAGTACTTAGTAGGGTATCATGCTTAAGGAATTCTCTTGGAGCTTTTAATCCACTACTGTTGGATGCGGCGTATCGATTGGATCTGGGAAGTCTGGGCATGAGAACCCCACTCTCTCCAGTGTTTATAGTCTCCTCCATGATGGTCACATTCCAAGATATACTGATAGCCACGATATCCAGGATACTGGTAGCAAACCCAACTAGAAATTGCAAAACATTACATTATTAAAATTAGCTAGGAACTTGTTCAACATCCCACCTCTTTCCTCAGCCCAATGGTACAGGATGCTCTCTAGGCTTAGTGAACAATAACCATCCTAAACTTGTCAGGCACTATTCATAAGCATAGTATGTCTACAACCGGTTAGAAACAAGCCTTGGTCATGAAAAAGGGTGTAAGTGGTCAACAAACATTTCTGTGGAGGGTGTGCCCAAGGGAGGAAAACTTGATAACTGACATCCATAGCACTATGATGCCAATGTATGGAAGCTGATAAAGCAGAACTTGTGATGTGTTAATATTCACAGGGCCTACACCTGAAGTAGACTTCGTGCTTCAACTGTGATTTTGCACTTACGCCCCACATTGTATCTTCATGGAGCCAACTTCATTGTTGAACCAGCCCATAGCTTGCAAGGAGGGGTAGTCGTCACAGATCTCCCACTGGCGTCCAATGAAGTTTTCTTTCTCAAAGATGGTAATCTTGGACTCCTTATGATTCTGTATTCAAGAAATTGATTTAAAATGTCTAGTACCTGTTGCAGTTACCATAGCTTGGTTCTTTATGATAGTTTCCAAAATTGAAACATTCATTTTCTGATACACAAAGGAAATACATGGTCACTGAATGTGAAAAGATTCAGGCAATACAAAGATAAGGGGGAAAGTTACCCATAGTCCTGTTCAATTAAATTTAAATACTGTAACATTTCAAAGGGTCAAACCTGATAGAATACTTTGGAACCGTGTAAGCAGTGAAGAAGGTATGACAGAGCCAGCCAAGGGATTACTATTCACTAGTGCGGAAAAAAGTGTCACAATAGCCTATATGTGCAGAAGTGGATATGAATATAACAGCATTAGAAAGGTGGAGACTTAACGTGTATGAAGTTCAAAAGTGGGCAAAACTGACACCCCTGGTAGTGGAAAGGGAGCAATTGGCTGGAAAGGAACACCAAGGGAATTTCATGGACAGGATGGACATCATTCAGATATGGTTAATATTGATTGTATTTATACATAATCTTTAAAAACTCAGAATGTACATTTAGGGTCTGCATTTTTAATGCATGTCATCTGTACCTTAGGAGAGAAAAAAATGTAGTTTAAAAGTGAGGGGAAGGTATTTGGTGCAGCAGCTAAAAAGTTGCCATTTGGGATATGAGCATCCCATATGGGAGTGCCTGGATTGAGTCTTCCTATCTAGCTTCCTGCTAACTTGCACCCTGGCAGGCAGCAGAGGATGGCTCAAATAGTTGGGTCTGTGCCACCCACTTGGGAAATCCAGATTGAGTTTTGAGCACATGGCTTCACCTTTCCTAGCACTGGCTGTTGTGGCATTTGAGTAAACTAGCAGGTAGAAGGTGTCTCCTCCCCTCTTTTCAAATAAAATGAAAATAAAACAGTTTAAAAATTGAGGTGGGGAGCAGCAGTTGAGACACTCCCCCTCATTGGAGTGTCGGTTTAATTCCTGACTCCAGCTTCCTGCAAGTGCACACTCTGGGACATGGCAGTGTTGGCTCAGGTAATTGGTTTCCTGCTATTCATTGGGAGACCTGGATTGGGTTCTCAGGCTCTTGGCTTCACAGCCAGTATGGGCACTTGGGGAGAAAAATCAGTGGATGGGAACTCAATGTGGGAGGCATTACTCCCATTCCATATCTAATCCACTCAATAGAAATTTTTAAAAAGTGAGATGTAATCATTTCCAGATGGGGAAGTATTTTTTGGGTTTCAAGCTGTTTAGGTTACCTTTGAATATTGGTAGGACTTTGAGCTACGGTGGGATTATCAACAACTAAAACCATGAGAAAAGTAACATAGGCTATAGACTGAAAATTTAGAAAGTTTCAGCCAACCTCACAATATGGAAATCACTTTCAGCATACCCCTGAAAGCCATCCTGCTTCTGGAGTCTTCCAAAGACTAGAAGCATTCCAACATGATGCATTATTGGATGATGTTTAGTGTTGGAAACAATGTTATGAATCAATGCAGGTAAGAGATGCTGGAAGACTCATTTCTTCAGTCATCCCCACTCACTGAAAAATTACTTAAGCATTTCCCTGCTTCTGCAAATTGAAATTTAATTGGCCAAGGATTTACTTTCTACTACACATTGTTTTCACTAGTTTTTGTATAGCACTTTAAATTGGGCTCTGGTATCCACTTTCTGCCGCCAGTAAGACCCTACTTTCAGCTTAAAGGAAATAACCACCTGGTAGAAAAAAATCATATGGCAGAGAAAGAGGGAGCAGTATTTTTGTTTTCTGTTTTTACTTTTAATTCTTTCTGCCATGTTCATCATTACCAATAGAAGTAACATAGATGGCACTTTGTCCACACCCCCTCTTTCCCCATCCCTCACATGACATTTCAGAGACTCACGGCTGAACAGATGGGGCGGAAGGACATGAGACGCTCAATATGATAGGCGTTGCTCCCACTCCAGGCATCCCAGCGAGGGTATTCTCCTCTCTCCAGGATAAACTGTTGCCCACAGAAGCTGGTGTGCTCATAACCAATCCAGCTGCCAAAGACAGGTAACAGTGTTTGTTCATGGTGTCCAGAGTCAATATGGTCTCATGGGAAAGGCATCTCTCATTTTAGATCATAGTGGGATAAAATATCAAGACGATCCCAACAGAGCCATACAAAGTAATAAACATCACAAGACGTGGCGGGTGAGCTGGCAGTTACACTAGCAGCTTTGTGAATGTATTCATTTTGGGATTATCCACTAAAAAAGAGTCCACTTCACTGGGCTGAGTAATGTGTGTTAGAAAAGTCCATCTTTCTCTCCAAGTCCCCTGGTCTCTATCTAGACTAGTAATTATTGCTTTAGCTCTAGCTAAACCTGTTGGCTTACTCCTAAGAAAGCGAAGGGAAGAATGAGCAACTGATGAATTACTGGTCATCTATTTCCTTGTCACTTTGTGAGTTCCTTCTCTTGCTTCCCCATACCCGTACCTTCCTTCAGCTCAGTCTTTCACAAAGTGGGTCTCAATTACTGATGATGTCTTAGCAGGTTACCATTTTAAAGGACCTAAGAGCTTTATTTTGGTGCCACAGGTCTGCTCTGGGACATGCAGGCCAAGAGTTACCCACTAAGGAGGCTGCAACTTGACAATGTCTTCTCCACCTGTTTTCTTCAGGGGGTTCTGTGGGTCTGCTGAGGGAAGCCCAGGTAGCACCTGGTAGGCTCTGAAAGCCCAGCTCTGATTACTATCACTGCCCCACCCCATCATATACTTTATTCTTTTAATGCTCTTGTTCCTTCTAGCTTTGGATTACCAACTTATGCAGGTAGTGATTCCTTTTGAAATTAACTTGAGTATGAAGGCTTCTGAGAAGTAGTGATTGGAGTCTGGGGGAATATCTTTCTTTTCCCCTCCCACTTCCCTTACAGTTCAGTGTCTGAAGGGACCTGAAATAAGGGGTCTTCAGTTCCGCTGAGATCCATACTCACGCGCCACACTCCACTTTGAGGGACCGGACATTATCAAAACTGCGCTCAGAGACATTTGGGCAGGAGCTGGTGAACTCCATCCTCTTGCCCTGGAAGTTCTCCTGGTCATAGATGGTTATCTGAAAAGGGATTGCATGGGGTGAGAGAGCTAGAACCCAGTACGTCAGCAAGAGCAGAGGCCCAGGACAGTGTCTTAACTTGTGTCTCACCCTGTGTTTTCCATCACACCAGGCACAAGATGCTCCCTAATATGGTCTCTTCGAGTAGGCACAGGGTAGGAAGGAGTTCGGATTAACACCACTGTTAGATGGTGTTCAGATGTCCAGGCTGGGCTTGCAATGTGAGGGGACTGGTTTGTAACAGGAATGGTCTGCCAGGGATGATGGCCCAATGGGCAGCCCAAGGACTTGTGGACTCATTCCACCAAGCTTATATAAATGTGGCCCAGGGGCCAGGATTCTGGGAGCCCCAGGAGCTTCCTGTGGATTGTTTCTTAGCTTCTCCAGCCACACCCACTGTGGAACACTAAAGTGTAAAAGGAGAGTTGTGATAAACCCCTTTCATACTTTCAGCTAGAACTTAGCTCTTGAATCTGGCCAGAGGACAACTCCCCAAGCTATGACTTGGGCTCAGAGTTGGCCCAGTGAGGTAGGTAGGAAGAAGAATTGAAAGGCCTGAGTTATCGGCCACTTCAGCCCATGGTTAAAACCACCTCAGGTGGGGAGTCAGGAGACCTGGGGCCTGTGACTTTTTTTGGGTTCTGGGAGCAAATCTCCATTTATGGGCCCTCATTTTCTCCACGGGCATGATTCCTTCTGGACTCTTTCATTTTGACATGATCTTAGCAGTATGGAGAACAGTGCACTCAGGAAACTGGGTATCACCTCCCATCCCGGAGCCGTCCTTCCTCTGTCCAAACATGGGGCATCTCAAGAGAGCCTGACACTGACAGCATCTGGCCCTTGCATGGACTCTCCCCTTACAGACTGTGTCTCATTGCTTGGTCACTGTCTCACAGACAAGCACAGCCCTGGTGCCTGCTCTGTTGGACTCTTCCATTTCTCAAGTCATGGGGGTAGGCTTACCTTCCATGGCACTAGGGACCCCGGCATAGGATTGGTCTGAGCCATCTTGGTGGTTGGAAGGGTTTCTAGAAAACAGAATACACATTAATGACCTGGCCTCTGGGACGGGGTGAGGTGAGGGAGCATAAGGAGGAAGCAGTAAAAGCGGCTTAAAAAGTCACAGACAGGGCCTGACATTGTGGTTCAGCGATTCAGCTGCCATACAAGGGCTGGATCAGATCCCAGATGCTCTACTTCTGATCTAGCTCCCTGCTAATGTGGAAGATGGTCCAAATCCTTGGGCTCCTGATACCCACATGAGAGACCCATATGGGGCTCCAGGCTCCCAGCCTCAGCCTGGCCCAGCCCTGGCAGTTGTGGCTGTCTGGGGAGTGAACCAGCAAATGGAGGATATCTCTCTGTGTGTGTGTGTGTGTGTCTTTTAACTCTGCCTTTTAAACAAATAAATAAATATTGAAGAAAGAAAAGCCAAAGACGGACTTTGGCTGGGATCCTGGCTGTGCTGCCCACTTGCCGAGGCTATTTTCCCGTGGGTAAAGCTTTTCCCCGCAGTGTTACTAGAAAGACTGGAAACAACAATGCAGGTGAAGCACTGCACGAGCGTTGTGACCTCTTGAAAACTGTAGCTCCTGTCCTCTTGCTTACCTCCAGGTGACAGCATTGCTCAGTCTCACCCCAATAGAAGCACCTTGGCAACCATCTGGTCCAGACCCTCATGTAACCTGTCACCCGGCCAGCAGTGCCAGGATCCCCGCCCCAGAGGCACTCCTGATTCAAGGGCAGCTGGGCTCTGAACCCTCTTGGCCTCTCTCTCGCCTGGCTCCCCATAGCACCCCAACTGCACTGTGGTAGTGTGTGGCTGCCTCATTCCCTCCCTGCTTCTCCACCTCCTCCACCTGCTCAGCCTGGGCCTGGCCTCCTCGGAGGCTCCTGCTTTCTCTACTTGCTTCTGCCCTTAATCAGTAGCCCTCATCATGGTACTGATCTGGGTTCCCATTGAGTCTGTTCTGGGTGAGGGTCTCAACAGCAGGACATGGCTTTCCTGGGTGATTGCGGTAGCCAAAGACAGAGAAGGGGCCATTGAAAAAGACTTAAGGAAGGAGAAAAGAAGGTGACAATCCTAGTTAACGCTTAGCAGTGGCCCACTCCATGCTAGAGTTCTAAATGCCTGTTGTGCAGTCAGATCGGTAGGATCATGATCCCCATTTTACAGCTGAGGTTCCTAGAGGATAGCAGACAATAAAGAGAACAGGATGAGTAAAGGAAGGAAAGCTAGGAGGACGGGGAGAAGGAAGAAAGGATGGGAGAAAAACAGGCAGGTGTGAATCAGGTTTCCTGACTCAGGGCCACTCAGAGCCGTTCCCTTTGCCTGGTGTCAGGCCAAGGACATGAAGCACGTGAACTTGGGGGCTACTAGGAATTTCTGAATGAGCAGCATTTCCAGCTCCCGCCCACTGTCCCTCCTCCCTGTGCCCAGGAGCCTGCTCATATATTGGGGCTCCATCCCTCCTACCCGGCCACTTTTTTTTTTTTTTTTTTTTTTTTGACAGGCAGAGTTAGACAGTGAGAGAGAGAGACAGAGAGAAAGGTCTTCCTTCCGTTGGTTCACTCCCCAAATGGCCGCTACGGCCGGCATGCTGCGCCATCCGAAGCCAGGAGCCAAGTGCTTCCTCCTGGTCTCCCATGTGGGTGCAGGGCCAAAGGACCTGGGCCATCCTCCACTGCACTCCTGAGCCGCAGCAGAGAGTTGGACTGGAAGAGGGGCAACCAGGACAGAATCCGGCGCCCCAAACGGGACTAGAACCCGGGGTGCTGGCGCCACAGACGGAGGATTAGCCTAGTGAGCCACGGCGCCGGCTAGAGTGGTGGTTATTGCCACACAAGTGACTCCTTTAGGGTGGCAGGAGGAGGTTCCCTTCCCCCAGTGTCCCTGCTCTTTTCCAGCTCCCCTAGGAGGCTCTGACCACTAGGGAGGAGAGCTGGGCCATCTGGGCGTGTCTTCAGGGGAAGGAAGGAAGGGCAAAGGCGCCCGCAGGGCCTTACTCACCCAGCTCCTGCTGCACAGTCTGGGTCTCCATCTGGTGCTGCTTCCTCTGCGACCTCCCTCTTTATAGCTCCGCGGCCAGCAGCCTCTGGCCCTGTCAGCACTCTGCCCTCTCTGTGCCTTTGTTCCCTCTGATCCCCTGAGCTTTGGTGCCTCAGCCTGCTGGGTAGGCGTCCCTTGGGTCTTTGTTCAAAGTGGGGATCCACAAATCCAGAGAGGCCCCTCTGCTGTGGGTCAGGCTGGCTGCTGCAGGCTTCGGCTGCTGTGGTCTGAATCTTAGAGCAGCTGGGAGGTGAGGACGGGCTCTCTACAGTGAATATTCACCCCATACTTGCTCAGGCTCCTCATACCACCCAAGAATTTTCCTAAGAACTCCCTCGGGAGGCCCTATGGCATAGCAAACATCAAAATGCACCTCGTTCTCCTCCAGGACCTGCATATCTTGTTGCCTAAAAAATGTGAAAGGACTACAAGTCTGAAATTTGTTGGGGACAAAATGGTTCATAGGGTTCAAGAGAATCTTTATTATAACTCTATGTAACCATGTAAGAGCTGAAGTCTATTACTATGGAACAGTCGACACAGGTCTCTCTGTAGTTATATTAGTTCATTGTGATTTTGCAGCTTTCTTTCACAAATTTGGAGCCAATGGATTGTTGTGGGAGGATGTTAATATATTATTTTAGGCCCTTGGAAATCTTGCAGCCCCAAGGTACTGTGTCTGTCATACACTGAAGGGTAGCATGACTTCTTGGAAGTTCAGGGACTTGGTAAAGGTGAGGGAGGGAAGATGTGGCCTCCCTATGGCCTTGCAGGTGAAGATGTGTGACTCAGGTACCACAGCCTCAGCCTCCACGCTAAGAAAGGGCATGCACTCTGCTTTAGGTATTGGAGGTGTATGGTTCTTTATTTTGCGTTATTTCTTTTTTTTTTTTTTTTTTTTTTTTTTTTTTTTTTTTTTTGATAGGCAGTTAGACAGTGAGAGAGAGAGAGACAGTGAGAAAGGTCTTCTTTCCATTGGTGCATCCCCCAAATGGCTGCTATGGCTAGCGCGCTGCGCCGATCCGAAGCCAGGAACCAGGTGCTTCTCCTGGTCTCCCATGCGGGTGCAGGGCCCAAGCACTTGGGCCATCCTCCACTGCCCTCCCTGGCCGCAGCAGAGAGCTGGACTGGAAGAGGAGCAACCGGGACAGAATCTGGCGCCCCAACCGGGACTAGAACCTGGGGTTCCGGCACCACAGGTGGAGGATTAGCCTAGTGAGCCACGGCGCCGGCCATTTTGCACTGCTTCTGTGGTGACAGGTACCATAGAAAATCACACAGATTGGAGAGCGGTAGGAAGTTGTCCCAATCCTGCATTTCAGGCTGATGCTAAGCATGGTGCACTGACTCGGGGGCTGTTTCTGCTGCCTTGATAACTTGGAGATGCCTGGGCCAAAGGGTGGCAAGGGACAGGGCTGCCCTGGGATCACAGTGGGCTCCAGTGCCCAGGGATGTTCAAGGGCTTAAGGTACAAGCTGTCCACAGCCACAATTCTTCTGTTTGCTCCTCTTCTTCTTCCTCCTTCTCCTCCTCCTTGTTTTTAAAGATTAATTTATTTATTTGAAAGAGTGGCAGAGAGGAGGAGACAGGGACAAAGATATCATCCATTTGCTGGTTCACTCCCCAAATGGCCTCAATGATCTGGGCTGGCCCAGGCCAAAGCCAGGAGCCTGAAACTCCATCTGGACCTCCCGCATGGGTTGCAGGGGCCCAAGCACTTGGGCCGTCACCCACTGCTATGCTGGGAGCATAGGCAGAGAGCTGGATTGGAAGCGGAGCAGCTGGGACTCGCAGCAGCTCTCTGCCAGGGAATGCTGGTCACAGGCAGCAGTTCAAGCTGCTGCACCACCAGGCTGGTTCCTCCTTTTTCCTTTTCTTCTTTTTTGCTTTCCTCCCCAAAACTGAGGTCTTAGGAAAACACTTACGATCATTTCTTCACTTATTTATTCCCTGAGTCCTGCATTGGCTCAAGTATTCCTGCCGCGTGCCACCATTGCACTCTGTATTTCTGCAGTGATCGAGGTGGCCATGCTGGAGATCTTACTGCAGAAACTAGAAATATCGACCTTCAGGGCCTCTGTGGCTCCGGTGTAGGCCATGACTTCTCACAGGATATTCTTCTGTCATCCTCGAATTTTGAACATTGTGAATATATTTCCTGTTCAAACAAAGTTATTTTTGAAAATAAAGAAGCTGCTTGCTTAGTCATCTAATATTCTAGTAGACTGTGCTCTCTGAAGCCAGGGGCCTCCTCTGTCTTCTTCTAGTTAAATCTTCAGTTCTGAGCACAACTCCTGGCTCCATGAATGTGTTTTTAACAAATGAATGATGTACTGGGGTTTGTGATCCTGGGGGCACCTTGCTGCTGGGAGCAGCCAGCAAAGCATGGGCCTCCTGTCCCAGACACAACTGGCCTGGTGGATGAGTGTGCCCGCTACACTGCTGGTGTCTTACTTCTGGAGCTTTACACAGCACAGTGAGGGCTGATTTGGCTAATTTTGTTTTGTTTTGTTGCAAAAAGAGGCTTTTAAATTTTATTGAAAAGCTCAAACATATGCACCAAACCACTGTTGCGGGGGGTATTCAGGGTGACTCTGCAGCCCACCCCCAAATGTCAGTCCAGCATTGTCCCTGGAGTCATAAGCAGCCCTGGCCTGTCCCCCCCCCCCCCCCCCGCCCCTTCTCTTCTGCTGCCTTCTGTCCCAGAGGCTTGAGAAGAATTTATAGACCTGTTGCACTAACCACCACACTTTCCAAATTGAACTCAATATGGTTCTTATCCAAGTTCAAGGGTTTCCTCTCTGACTTTGTCTGGAACTGTTCATTCTGCTGTGCCACTTAGGTCAGAACCTTGGAGCACCAACCCTCAGCCCCATCCCTTTGTAAGTTGGGGCAGAGCCACCCGAGGAGTAGGAACGAAGCGAGCAAGCAGCTTGCAATCCCTCTGCCAAGAGGGGTGTGGGTCTCTCCTGTCCATCTTTTTTTTTTAATATATATATATTTATTAATTGAGTTACACAGAGAAAGAAGAGGCAGAGAGAGAGAGAGAGAGAGGTCTTTCATCCACTGGTTCAATCCGCAGTCTGCTGCAACGGCCAGAGCTGCGCCTATCCAAAGCCAGGAGCAAGGAGCTAAGGGCTTCTTCCAGGTCTCCCACATGGGTGCAGGGGCCCAAGGACTTGGGCCATCCTCTACTGCTTTCCCAGGCCTCAGCAGAGAGCTGGATCGGAAGTGGAGCAGCTGGGACTAGAACCAGCACTCATATGGGATGCCGGCATTGCAGGCAGCGGCTTTACCCACTATGCCACAGCGCCAACCACTCTCCAGTCCATCTTTAACAATAATAATTGCAGCTTCCTGAGGATTGATAGGGAGCCATGCAGTGCCTTCCTTATCCTCACAACAAGCCTGTGAAGTGGATTATTACATCCATTTTATAGATGAGTTAACTGAGATTTTGAGAGGTCAAGTTCCAGGCCAGGGAATGTAGCTGGGACTTCGTCGCATCTGTGAATCCAAAGTTCCTGTATTTTCCTTTCTGGCTAGGATGTAGAATAATAATATAATTCCACTTACCCACTGCCATTAGATGAAGGCAGGTGAAGGTGGTTAGGGCAGTGTTAGGTACTCAGAGCTCAGTAAATAGAAACCGCATTATTGATTGTGCCAAATCCAGCACCAAGTTCTCATAGAGGCAAGCGGGAGCAAGTAGGGATTTGAGAAACATTTATCAGATAAAAAAAGTTCTCTCTGAATTTGGAAAGATCACATTCATTCCAGTTTTCTTATTTTCCAGTGTTTGTCGATACAGCAGCCTGTTCTGCCAGGCTAGTCTTAAGAAGCACGCCGCTGTGCTGGAGACCCTGCTGGGGAACCACGTTCTCAGCCCACACTCGTGGCGTGAGCAACGGGGTAGCTGCCTGCTCAGTGGGATGGGCTGTCGGATTTGGGGGCGCTGACCCACGGGAAGGGCCCTGTGACAGCCCCCCTGTCCCGCTCCGAGTGTAACCTGGGCAGGCTGAACCTTAGGCGTCCTGACACCAAGGCCACAGGGCAGGCATGGTAGGGCACTCATCTGTGGATGGCTCGGGCCCCTTGGCCTTGCCCCTGGGCCCTGTGAGGCGCGGAGTGAGGTCATGGGGCCAGGGAAGCCCTGGGACTCAGCACTTTGTGCAAAGAACACAAAGGGGCTGGCCAGGCAGCTGAGCAGCACTTTTGTTGTTTGGAAAAGCAGGCTGAGTACAAAGCAAAGGGCGCACTCAGCGATCAGCAAGCCTCCCCCACAAGGGGCTGCTCCGGGGCTCCTCTTCTCCCGGCCCCTTTCCACCTCTTTATTTTTGGTTAAATTTTTATTTGCCTATTTTCATTTCATTTGAAAAGCAGAGAAAGAGAGAGAATCTCCCATCTGCTGGTTCACTCCCCAAATGCCTACAACAGCCAGGGCTTGGCCAGACTGAAGCCAGGAGCCTGGAGCTCTATCTAGGTCTCCCACGTGGGTGCAGGGGCCCAAGCACTTGAGCCCACACCTGTGGCCTCCCAGGGTGCACATTAGCTGGAAGCTGGATGGCAAGTGGAGAAGCTGAGACTCGGGCCCAGGTGCGCAGACCCCTCTTTTTTTTTTTTTTTTCAATTTTTTTTGACAGATGGAGTTATAGACAGTGAGAGAGACAGAGAGAAAGGTCTTCCTTCCGTTGGTTCACTCCCCAAATGGCCGCTACGGCCGGCATGCTGCGCCATCCGAAGCCAGGAGCCAAGTGCTTCCTCCTGGTCTCCCATGTGGGTGCAGGGCCCAGGCACTTGGGCCATCCTCCACTGCCCTTCCGGGCCACAGCAGAGAGCTGGACTGGAAGAGGAGCAACTGGGACTAGAACCGGCGCCCATATGGGATGCTGGCACCGCAGGTGGAGGATTAACCAAGTGAGCCACGGTGATGGCCCCAGACCCCTCTTTAAACATGAGCACAAGGGCCTGAAGAAGGCAGCAGGGCAGACCTGGG